GGTGGTGAGGCTCTGGCACTGCTGGAACAACTTGGGATAGTGGAAGATATCACCATAGCACAGGGGTGGAACTGGATAACCTTTAACGTCTCTACTGACCCAAACCATGCTGTGATACAACTTTATGAAGGCAGTCCAAGGAAATTCAGGTAGCAGCCAGGTGTGTCCCTCCCACCCTCCCAGCATTCACTGTACTCCCAATACTGATCTCAGCTTCCTGTCAGAGTTCACCTTCATTTTCCACACTCACTTGTTTCACCTTCTCCTCAAAGTCAGCATCGTTGTGGTCCGAAATCATCTGTGCAAGTCGAATCTGTTCTGCAGTAGCCTAAAGACATCAGGGAGAGACAGAGCACATTGTCAGAGTGGTGCATTTCCAAACCATCCTCCAAAGGCCATTCTACTACCCCAAGTTCTCTGGAAACCCTGGAAAGGAATCAGTATGGCAAAGACAAGACACAAACATGGGTCACAGAAGGAAAACTCCAGGGAGAAAGTGAGATGAAAAAGGAGCAAGAAGAGGAGTCTGGAAGAAAGGGATATACTGTTTAACAGCCTCATGGCACCAGATGAGCAGCAGCCACCCAAACCACATCTGTTTTGGGGCAGACCTTACCACCACCACACCACCAAGACCCGCTGCAGATGGCTTCTCAGCCACTTACATTCATTAAAGTGTGTGAGGAATGGACAAATGGAAATAAAACCAAATCTCAGCAGCAGCTCCCAATTGGAGACAGACATGGAAACCCCAGTGTCAGCAGCTGCCCAATTAACCTGACTCTGGCAGCAGCACCTTGTGACACATGGGGAGCTCGTTAGGCCAGCCCAGCTGTTAGCACTGGACCAGCCAGGTCTCCACCTGGAAGCCAGCTGGGGTCTCTGGACACTGCCCTTACCTGCGGCCGCTGCTTGTGCTGCGTCTGGCTCTGTGTCTGTGTCTGCTCCCAGCTGCCCCGGGCTCGGGTAGTACCCACCGATGTCATCATTTACAGTATATACAAATAACAGTATTTACAAGGTTGAACTCTGTGGTGGGGCAGGGGAGAAGAGAGAACGGACTGTTAGATACTAAAAACAAAAAGTAACACCAAGACTGAACAATCAAAAGGGTAACACAGCCAGAATGGCTGCTGCAGGTCCCCACCCTCCCCACCACTTCCCCAAAACCCCAGTGGGCCAGGCTACCATCACCACGTGCTCCCAACACAAAATGGCCACTTGTACTTCTTGAGGTTTCTCTCTGGATACCATGGCAGAGTGCTCCAGATGGAATATCAGCTGCATCCAGGTGGGAGCAATCAGGCACCAGGAGCCAAAGGCTCAAAGTCATCGACTCACAGACTGGTGTGGGTTGGAAGGGACCTTGAAGCTCACCCAGCTCCAGGCAGGGACACCTTCCAACAGCCCAGGTAGCTCCAAGCCCCATCCAACCTGGCCTTGAACACTTCCAGAGGTGGGGCAGCCAGAGCTCCTCTGGGCAAGCTGTGCCAGGGCCTCACCACCCTCATTGTAAAAAACCTCTTTCTCAGGTAATCTAGACTGACCCTCCTTCAGTTTGAAGCCATTCCCTGCACTTGAGGCAAAGAGTTGAACAACTTCTTGTTGGAACGTGTGTGAGTGGACACAGATCTGCCATGCACCCAAGCTGAGGCTGTGGCCATCAAATGGAACAGGAAGGCTTGAAAAAAGCTTCAAAAAAACATCACTTGAAGGACAGAGCATCTTAGAGCCTCAGACACATCAGTTACTTCCCCTTCTCCTTACTTAACTTTAAAGCAAAGCAGGGGAAGCAAAAACACTCCAGCAATAAGTGCTGCTATAGGTCTGTGGAATTTTTGTTTTAAGAAAAACTTGCCCTTGCAGAAGTGCCTATTTTTGCTTATTTAAATTATTCCCTAATTTAAATTATTCCCTGGAAAAACAACATTTTTCCTAGTATTCTTGATCAAAAACATACTAAAAAAAAGTGAATAAGATGTCTGCAATAAATAACAGCCAGTAACACTGTTAGATAACACTGCTGGAGGCAAAAAATCCCAAGAAAAGTTTCAGTGTCCAAAGCAAGCAGAGTTTTCTAACCTCACACTGGGCCTCAGGGCAGGGGGTGTTGGAAAGGGATTAACACTGAGGTTTTACCCTCTCTAGTGGCCTTTCAGGCAAAAGGGATGTGAGAGACATCCCACAGCACTTGTCAGGACTCACACTCACTTCTGAGCTCCTGAAATTTCAATAATCACAGAATTCACATTTTTGTATTTCATTACTAAGACTGCAAAGCCTTCCCCCAAAGCAGCAGGGCCTGCTGCTGTGCCCCAGGCAGACACGAGGGACATGGGAAGGAGCCACAGAGTGCAGAAGCAGGGAGTTTAGTAAGACAACCAGTGCAGGATCTGATCTGGAACGCTGCTGTCCATGAGCAGGGCAGCACAGGGAAACCCACGGTGTGCCAAGGAGGGAGCAGAGAAGCAGCATTAGCAAATAGTGCAGGAGAAGCTGGGGAATCTCCTGTTGAAGCTTGCAAGTACTCAACTGGGTGAGAAATCCCTCCTGAGAGCAGGGAAGCCCTAACATTGCCTCTACACCCCCCACACCTGCTCCCACCAGTGCCTGGCCTTTCTCTGTAGGCAAGTTTCTGTGCAATCACTCCTGCAGCTCCCCACAAAACCTCCAAATTCCCCCCTTCACAGCCACCCATGCCTCGTGGCAACTTAACACCACAGTTTTACAGCTGTACAGTGCCAAGGTCCCTTATGAGGAAACAATCCAAGCTACCAGGAGCCCCAGAGGTACAGGAGAAGAGCACCAAGTCTGCACTTCTGCCAAGGCACAGCAGAAAAAGCCTTCTATCCCCAGCCATCCCCTCTGTGCAGGCTCCATTCCCATGGTATAGATTTATTTTTGCTTTCCCGGTTTTAAGTTTCACACACAATTTGTTGTATTAAACCAACCTGGCAGCAGAACCACGGGCCCAGAGGGAAGTGATTCCACACATCCACAGAAACCCAAACTGCAGATTCCCTGGGCTGCAGGTCCAGCAGACTGAGCCCAAACCTTGTGCAGCCCAGGCATTGCTCAGCAGCTGCCATGCTGCATCACTGCCACCAGGAACACAAGCATTTGTAATTTAACACATTAAAAACCCCTAAGAAAACCACCTACAGTAAAAATCTCAGCCAAAGCCTGACTCTGGTGAGGCTGCCAGGTAAGGAGGTGTCCCCATGCAGACCCCACAGCAGCCTTGGGGAAAGAGGACTTGGCTACTGGGAACCAATTCTTCACTGGGGGAACTTGGGATCAGCTCAGTGGCAGCAGTGACCTACAGAACCCCAATGCCTGCACTGCCCTGCAGCTGCACAAAAGCTTCCCAGACCAAAACTGTTCTCATCAAAAGCATTTCACCTCTTCTCTTGAAAGAGCAAACCTGCACCCATGCACCGAAGGGAGTGGTGGCCAGTCCACACCGCAGCGTTAGCATTACCTGGAGCAGGGCTCACACCTCTGCACTCACACAGGGCTCAGGGAAAACAAAGAAGCCTCACAGTTAGAGGTTACAACACCCTCTGCCAAACTCACTGCATCAGATGAGACATTTGCTGTTACCCCCTTTCCTTCTCAGACCTGCATTCCCACCAGGCCTCAAGAGGAGAGTCTCAACTACACAAGGAAAGTGCGGAGTCTCCAGAAAATGAGGGGATACAAAAATGTAACAAACTGTTCATTTTATTAGAAACGTCAGATAAGTTACAGTTTCAGAACCAGGATCTGTAGGTCCCATGGTGGTGCCAGACCTGCTGGCTGCTGCTCGCCCTGGCACATCCCAGTTTCAGTTTCCTGATGTGTTAATACATAAAAATGGTATTCTCATTCCATTCAGACAAAGCTAATTAACATGTGCAAAAAAGCTCCAAAGCCCGAAAGTAAAGGGCCAGAGAAGGCAAAGCTTTTCCTGCAACATGGGGCAAAATGAGGACCCAAAAAAAGGGTTATAAATACGAGAAGTTTTCCCCAGAGCAAAGACATGGTGGCCGCAAACCGAATCATTCCACGTATGCAAAGCATGAGCTTTTAGGGAGACGCTCCCGGATATGCCATCAGAGACCCCGGCTCGGGATCGACAGGCAGCGCTTTGCTCGGGAGACTTCCGGGCCGGAGGGCGCAAGCAGAGCCCCCCGGCCGGGATGGAGGGACGCGGGGCAGGGCGGCACTCGCGGGCCGGGGCTCCTGCAGGACCCCCGAACCGCCGCTGCCCGGGAATTTCACGTGGGCAGCGGAAGCACCCGTGCCACGGCCCGCGGGGCGCCACCGAGGAGCGGCGGCAGCGGCGGGCCTGGCGGGCCGCAAGGAGCCCGGCAGGGCGGGAGCACGGCTCCCATTGTTACCGCCGGCAGCGGCGGGGACGGGCGGGCCCCGAGAGCGCGGCAAGGTCGGAGCCGCCCGACCCCGCGGCCCAGTCCGCGGCTCACAATGAGGCAACGAACCGGACCGAAGCGGAGGGCGCCGGCGGGGCCGGGCGGGAGCCCCCTCGGCGGCGCCAGGCCGGGCCCGCAACGGAGAGGCGGGCGAGTTCGGGCCGCTTCCGCCCTCATGGCCGCGGCCGCCATTTCACCCCCCCCCACCCGCACCCGGCGAAATTTC